TGTGATGTGCCGATGCCTGGAAGCTGTCAGGATCTGGATACCGCCTATACCTCCCAACGGCCGGTGAGATCGCACAGGGTGGGCCTCCTTCAGGTGCCGTCAGCCAGGCAGTGTCGGCAGTTGGCTCCCCGGAGGAGGGCCTTCTCTGTGGCCGCTCCGACCCTATGGAATGAACTACCCCCAGAGATCCGGACCTTACCCACTCTCATGGCCTTCCAAAAAGCCGTTAAACCTGTCTATTCCGGCAGGCCTGGGGCTGTTGACCTCATTACTGAGGTCCAGCCCCGATCAGATTGGGTGCATGGTGATGTTTTAATTTTTTTTCTTTTATTTTTTCACTAATTACTTTCTTTTGTTTTGTAAACCGCCCAGAGTCCTCCGGGATTGGGCGGCCTATAAATCCATTAAATAATAATAATAAATAATAATAAAGACATGCCTAAGAAATAAATCTCAGCTCAGTGGTTTAATATTCAAAGCAAATACCTGATTTATGCTGGATGGGTTTCACTGAATAGAAGCCTGGTGGAGCCTGGCAACATGTTTCATTCATAAATGAACTTGATGAAGGATTACTTTGTGTCTGAAAGTAAACAAAAAAGTCTCTGTTTATTCTCCCAATTAGTTCTCTCTGTGCTCACTCTGGCATATAACAAGAGAAATAACAGATGACAAATCTGTTCTTTATTAATCTATACAAAACATTATGACTTGTTTGTTGTAGCAGAATTACTATATATAGCATGCACATATAAAGTAGACCGGCAACAAAGTTTCTGCCCCCTCCCTGTTCATTTCTTCGTTATTTCATTTTATATATTCGCCAGGAGTAGATCTCCTTAATATTGTTGGCCATATTCAGTGACAACACAATTGTATTAGTCAAGTCATGATTCCATGGGGTGGCAACAATTTGAGACTATAATAGTCATACTTCAAGAATTCACAAATTCCAGAAGAGTTAAAATATTTTCAATTAACTTCTACATCACATTACTTGATCTTTCAACTGCTCTATATCTATCAAACATACACTCCATTTATTTCAAATATGCATTGTATATGTATATATGTATATATATTATACGTTACTGAGATAACATAACCTATACATTCCTATACTATAAACACAAAGACTTCAACTTCTGAGCATGATTCCAGGTGCTGGTCCATCACCTATAAAGCCCAACATGGTCACTTCGGGTACTACCTGTGTCCCTGCCCAGTCAGTGATCTAACAAGTTTGGCAGGCTCTGGTTTCCATCAAATAAACAATGATAGTATGGGGTGCCGCATGGTTCAGTCCTGTCCCCCCTCCTATTTAACATCTACATGAAGCTTCTGGGTGAGATCATACGCCGGCACGGGAATAAGTATCACCAATATGCAGACGATACGTAGCTGTATCTGTCTGCCCCGTGCCAACTCAGCGAAGCANCATCCGGTCACATGGGCGGCAAACCACTCCCATCCGGTCACATGGGCGGCAAGCCACTCCCACAAAGGAGACCACACCCACAGAGTAGGTTCGAACAATTTTTGAAACCCACCACTGCTCCAGAACTTGTGGGTGCGCCAACACTGGAAGTTTTTAAGAAGAGACTGGACGGACATTTGTCTAAAATGGCTTAAGGTTTCCTGCTCGAGTAGAGGGTTGGACTAGAAGACCTCCAAGATCCCTTCCGTTATTCTGTTATACTCTTTGAAAGAAAATGCAACAATAGGTCAGCAGGAAGGGTCGTATGGTAAACGTGGTTAGGAATGGTTGAGAACATTGTAAAAGCCTAAGCAGCAGAAGAGTGTGGGGAGAGAGGCTAGCCTTCAGGTTTAAAAATCACAGAATAACAGAGTTGGAAGGGACCTTGGAGGTCTTCTAGTCCAACTCTCTGCTTGCCCAGGAGACCCTCCATCTAAAAGCTGATGGGATTTCAGCAACAAAGCAGCTACGGATGGGAAATTGCTAAACACTTGAAAGCCTCTCAACCACAAATGATAGACATCTCTAGATTTCTAGGGAAGTCTATGTTCAGGTAAAAGGTAACGGTAAAGGTTCCCCTCACACATATGTACTAGTCGTTCCCGACTCTAGGGGGCGGTGCTCATCTCCGTTTCAAAGCCGAAGAGCCAGTGCTGTCCGAAGACGTTTCCGTGGTCATGGGGCCAGCACGACTCAACGCCAAAGGGGCACATAATACTGTTACTTCCCTCCCAAAGTGGTTCCTATTTTTCTACTTGCATTTTTCACGTGCTTCCGATCTGTTAGGTTGGCAGAAACTGGGGACAATTAACGGGAGCTCACTCCGTTACGCAGGTGCTAGGGATTCGAACCGCCGACCTTTCTAATTGACAAGTTCAGCTGGTCTTAGCCACTAAGGATCAAACTGGACAGCCTAGTCTTCAAAGGGAGAGAGAATGCCCCTAGGAATGCTTGAGCTGTCCATTAAGGGTTGGTGCTGAACAGATTTGATGGCACGCTACTTGGATGAGATTGCTGTTGCTACTCATTAGTTCAATGCCTTAAAGAGTAAAACCGAGGACGATGGGCATAGGTTAAAAGAGGGCAGATTGCAGCTGTATTTTTTTTAGGATAAAACCCCCCACCCCTGGTTATAAAAACGGTGGGACGGTGGAATGAGGCATTACATTATCTATCTTCCTGTGTTAAGACTCCATCGTCGTACCTGGAAGCCATCTTTTACAATTGGGGGCTTCAGGCCTGTGACATTCAGTGCTGTGGGAAACTGGGAGGGGGGAATTACATGGAGTATGGGAGAGATATCGTCTAAATAACATTCCTTTCTCAGAGAGTCAAGGACACCTTGCCCTGCAGCTGCGTTGGTATGACTGGGGGGGCATCTCCCGTTTTGGATGGTGCCTGATTCAACCATGTGATGGACAGGTGGGCTTTCAGATTTGGGTTAATGTCAGGGTTCCAAGCAACAGCCCCCCCCCCCCCATGAAAGAAGACTCCGAGTTTCCTCAAAGTTCTTCCATTTTATTAGAGATGTCACATTGGCACACCTGGGAAAACCCGGATCTTCTGAAATCCATCTTATCTGGAAGACCATCAAGGAAGGGAATTCACTGGAGGTGTTCAAACGGAAGATAGGCGGCCCACCAAGGAATCTAGAATAATGTCCGTTTTATTTTATTTTCCAAAGGAAGGAAAACTCACTGTTTAACTACGTGCTTTCCTGTGTCTTGAGCGCCCTGTTTGGGAAACGACTTCAAGCAAAGATTGGGTAGCTATGATGCCTTCATTTGCGGATTACAACGCATCGTATGTTTCTACGAGTCTTTGATTCTTAATATTCTGCTAAAATGGATCAACGTGTTTATCATCTTGTCTTTGCATTTTGAAAACAGAAGAGCATGCGGCTTCTGGCCTCTTGTACTTAACATTCCTGAACTGAACACATGCCTTCAAAAAGCAAACTCATTTCATCAGAAGACTAGCTGGCCCAGAATCTCTAATTGTTCAGGATAAACGTAATCCCCATTATTGACAAAAGGGCCCTTTATTTTTCCTTGTGTTCCATGTAATTGTGAACCAATTCCATTGATATTACATGTTGGAGGCCAGCAGAGGTCACAATTGTGCTGTAATAGACTTGGAAATTTCCATATCGGAGGGAAGAAATTAAGGTTCCAGAAGGAAGACCAAGACGGTGCCTGTTTTTCATGCTTCCAGGAAGGGGAATCTCACTGGAATAGATCAAGAATCCCCCCAGGAAGCAGCTGAGTTTTTCTTTTCAAGCAGATCTATTTCAGAGATGCTTCGTTTTGGATTCCTCTCTAAGCAAGACCTTGGATTCAAAAGTCTACATCACTCCTTCCGAGGCTACCACTCTCCTTCTGGTCGGCCTGGATTTTGCAACATTTTCAAGCACATTGGATGATCCTGGCTTTTAAATTCATGGCCGCCCAGAGGAAATCCCTCTGCTTTTTTCGTACCCGTTTCATAAATGACAATTTTTAAAAGAAATTGGTGTGAAATTCTTGAGGATGGGTTCTGCCTCAGCATTGATGGGGTGATAAGGTAGCTCAGCAGTGGGGTCAAGATGCTCGTCTCCCATTGGAAGATTGAGAGTCCAATCCAGAGATGGGTTCCTACTGGTTTGGATTGGTTTGGCCGAACCGGTATTAAGTTGGCGGCCTGGACCGATGGAACCAGCCGCGACCCAGGCCAGCCACGCCCCCGAATCTACGGTGCTGCCATCTTAATTTCCAGTTCTGCGCATGTGCAGAAAAAAATTCATTGCATATTTTTTTAACATTTTGTGCATGCACAGATCTATTTTTCTGCAAATGTTCACGCGTACAGCAATAGCAATAGCAATAGCAGTAGACTTATATACCGCTTCATAGGCCTTTCAGGCCTAAGCGGTTTACAGAGAGTCAGCATATTGCCCCCAACAATCTGGGTCCTCATTT